GAAGTGCCGGTACCACATGGGTAAAAATCAGAAGTGCCGGTACTGCGTACCGGTGAGTACCGGCCCAATTCAAGCACTGGTAGCATAACATATATAATATATATAATATATATAATAATATATATATTAATATAATAATAATATAATAATAATATATATAATATAATATATAATATAATAAGTATAAGCATAATATATAACATATAGTATAACATATAGATTCCTGATTGGTTTTTGGTCGCCTTGGGCGCGTGAAATCGCCAAGCTTCAGACACGCCCATCAAGATTTTTCAAGATTTTTTTCATGCCTGTGTGTGGACGGGCCGTAAGACGCATGTACAGAAGTAGAGCTGTAGTTCTAACGTGTGAGGGATCGATGAATGGTCCCATATGGAATACGTATAATATATTTATATTCATTAAAATACATTAGATGACATTAATAATTCGAAATATATACATATAACATACATTCAAATAGAAATGTTCCAATACATTTAGTGACATCAAATGAATAAGAAAGACATTTAGCTATACATTTAAAATTGTGTTCTCCTTTCAGCATCGTCATGTTCTTACTCAAAGCTAACTCAAGTAACAAAGATGATGCTAACATACATTAAAACTCTTTGCACCTATAGACAACTGTTATAAATTATCTTCCAAAATATATTTCGTTCAGAAATGTGATATTTTATTTGTAATGTCAAACCAATAGCTTTGACATCCATTCGACTGTCCTTAAGCCTTAACTCAGGCAATGCTTTTCATAAAAAACTGACTGATGAACATCTCTTCAATACTTCATTTTCCAGACGTTGAAAACCGTTCACAGATTTGTGTGTTGTAAGTTGTAAATGGAAGTCTGTAAGCCCACACGTAATTGGTTTATCTGAAATAAGTCAAAGCAAAACTCTAATCTATCTATCTGAGACGACTTTTGTGTCATTTATGTATTTGAATGATTATTTGGTCCCACTGGCCTCTTTATCACCTCGTGGCAATCACAGTGACTCATCTAAAAGTCATCTTAAGAAACAGTGGCACATTCAAGAGTTGTAATGGGATTTTACACAGTAAGACTCTCCGCAATCTTAAATGTGGGTGAATTAATTAAAGCAATTGTACTCAAACGCATAAAATAATTCAGTTCTTCTCAAAGATGTAAAGGCCAGCGCAAAATATAGAGCTGTCACGTTGCCTGAGCAGAAATATAATGAGCCCATTGTATTACAGGCTGCAGCACTGAGTCACCAGCTCTAAGTCTGTGTCATTATCACAAGTGTTGGCTCGCCATATGGTGTTTTTCTGACATGAACAGCTTTAAATATGTTCTATTATTATACACTAATCAGTAAACTTTACTTCTGTAATCCCTCTACTAAAGTGTGAAGAAACACCGGCAGCAGAGTCAGCGCAGGTCAACGTGAAGGGGTTCTGAAGGTAAACTGGGATATGTAGTAGCTAGAAACATGTTGATTGCTCTGAGATTTTGAGTTTGAATTCAATTCTGGAGAAGAATGACACTTCTCACCCCCCC